TAATATGCATTTTTTTGTAACTACTTTGTAAATTTTAAAACTATCCATTTTTTTTTATCCACACTCTGAATTTTCCAATCTCTGGCCAATCATTTCCTCCAATTTATACAATTATCTAACTTTATGTCAGTCCTTTATCTAATTTATATTCTAGCTAATACATAATATCAATGAACCGTGTAATTAAACAATCATTATTCTCCTAATTGGCTTAATGATGTTTAATTACCAGAAATTATATTGTGCTAAAACGAAGAACCCGGGAGATGCAACAATTGTTCTGGAATTTGTTGAATTATTTTCCTCGCAAAAACCCGTTTTAGTTTCATTTAGTGAGAAAGTAGTCTAATTTTTTGGTAAACCAAGTCATATGAAGAGAAAACCGACAAAAACAATAAGTTTTAATTAAATATCTCTTGTTTACTGTTTACTTATTTACCAAATCTTAAAGGAACTGTTAGCGTATATTCAAGTCACCTTCATGCAAAGATTGGCAATGCCCGATTCACAACGGTACCCTTGAAACCTTAATCTGTTCAAAAATGTGCAAGATACCGTCGTTTTTATAACTCGAAATGTGGTTATTTCTAAGATTAACTTCTTTTAAACATGAAATGCACAAGTCACTTTCGCAAAGAACCCGCAAATGAAGATAAACAGCTAGTTAAAATAAACAAAAACATTGATATCTAATTCATACTTGATCAGACTAAGCTTTCAAGAGTACCGTTGTGAATCTGGCATTGCCATGTTTGCATGGAGGGTCACTTAAAATCACGCTTACAGTCCCTTTAAATACAAACTAAAAAAGAAAACAATAGAAAATGGAATTAAGTATAAATTCTGTAATTTTAATCATTATTTCTTACACGAGAACCCCAGTCTTTGCTTTTTAAATCTTTCTTAATAAAGTGATATTTTAAATGCAGAATCAAAACAGAAAAACTTGAGAGGTAATTATTCGTTATTATTTCAAGTAATCCCTTGCCTGATTCAAAACAGTATCATTTAAACCTTTATCTGACTAAACATATTTAAGATATCGTCGTTTGTCTAGCTCAAAAATTGTTTAAAACTGACAATCATTGTTTCTGTAGTATATATTCACATTCACCTATAAAGAGAGATTACAGAGAAAAACATGGACTACTCTTTTATTTTTGATTAAACAAGCGCTTTTAAGGGTAACTTGTGAATCATAGGCACATATCACTGTTGGACTGTATATTTTTAACTCCGCCTGATGGGACTAAGTTGGCATTGATCAGTCATCAAACTAAGCTTAAATACTTCAAAAAAAATAAAAAAAATAAAAATGTATAAAAAATATTATAAATTCCTAATAAATGAAGAAGAGTTTATTGATTATTGATAATTAAACCTGGACATCTTAAACAACATTGATGTACGTATTACGTAGTCAAGTCAGGTATACAATTCTTTAGATGCCGAGGAACCAATAAATAAATATCTTCAGATTCTTTTAATTAACAATACGCATAGTTTACATTCCAGGAGACAAGTTCTTCTTACCTACAAAACTACTTTTAGTGAAATATTTATATAGGAAGGCCCAAGAAATATATAGAACAGGAACCGCAATATCTGATGCGTCAAATCTGTGTACTGCAGTGGGAGGAGATCAAAACAAGGAATTCAGGGGCAACTCATCGTTTTTGAGGGAAAAGGGCCCAAGAGGTGTATTGTATTTTTCATATTGACCAGAAAGCCAAAAATCATAAGTATTCGCTCTAACTTGATTTAATAACTTGTTTTTTTGTTGGAATGTAATATCACATCAGAGCTTTAGTCCTTTCCTTCAACTTCTGTGGAGGAACTGAGGTTTGTTTACATTCCTCCCGCAGTGTACAGTACACAATTTGCGTATTTCTGAGTTGGGCGTTCCTGTATATAGTTCCTTGGGAAGGTCGGTGCTCGGTAAGCACTTTTTATTATTTAGATTTTTCTTTAGCTGGTAAAACAGGATAGTACATCAAATGATTTATCCTTTTCTATTGAGATTGATGCTTTATGTCATTTTGTTTTTTTTATAAAAAATATCATATCTGGTAAACAATCTGTTAAAATTTAAGTTAAAGTATATCTTACAAATATGACTATTTCTTAACGATCAACCAGGACGTGATGTGCAGTGCAACTTTTTATTCAGTATTTAGTAAATCTGGATCAGTCGGCCATTAAATCCAACCCATAATCCATACATTTTATAAATACCATCAATAAAGGTGAAGCATTGACTCTGATTTAAACCAGAAAGAGAGGAATTGTATAATATTGACGAAGTACTAGATTTATATTTATATAATATTATATATATATATATATATTAAATAATATTATGGATTGTAATAAATAAATGTACTTATATGGGGTGTGGGAGGTTCAAGTGGGAATTTTATGGAGTACAGGTCTACAGGGTGTCAAGTGGAAATTTTAAGGTGTACAACTCTACAGGGTGTCAAGTGGAAATTTTCAGGTGTACAACTCTACAGGGTGTCAATAGTCTTTGCTATCTTCTTCACCCTGTAATTCATAAACAATATTCTAATATTATATGTTACCCTCTGTTACAACCATCCCGCTGAGTACCCACCCTTTCCTTTATACTTTTTCAAAATGTGCACTGTACAGTGTACATCCATCTATTTATTTACATCTCTTATTTGCTAATAATGGGCCAACCAATCAAAACAACCAACTCTGGTTAGGCGGGTCCAAACTATATAGTAAATTGTGATTTATTATTTGTATTATCTCCTGCTTTGTAGTTGAATAAAAATATGAAATAAATATGAAAAAGTGGAAATTTTATGGTGTACAACTCTACAGGGTGACAATTGGGAATTTTATGGAATACAACTCTACTGGGTGTCAAGTGGGAATTTTGTGGAATACAGTTCAACAGGGTGTCAATTGGGAATTTTATGGAATACAACTCTACTGGGTGTTAAGTGGGAATTTTGTGGAATACAGCTCTACAGGGTATCACTAAGGAATTTTATGGAATTCAGCTCTACTGGGTGTTAAGTGTGAATTTTGTGGAATTCAGCTCAACAGGGTATCAAATGGGAATTTTATGGAATTCAGCTCTACTGGGTGTCAAGTGGGAATTTTTTGGAATGCAGCTCTACAGGGTGTCAAATGGTAATGTTATGGAATACCTACAAGGTGTTATGTGGCAATTTTATAAAATACAGGGTGTCAAGTGGGAATCTTGTGGAATACAGCTCTACAGGGTGTCAATTGGGAATTTCATGGAATACAACTTTACAGGGTGTCAAGTATTAAAATTTTTGATACTCGTAACTGTTTCGGTATAACCTTAAGCCTATGGCTAAATAAGGATGAATGAGATAATCCATACCTTTAGCTGAAATTTGGATATTTTTGATTTTGATTTCTCAACAATAATGACTTACGCATGTATGCTGTAATGACAATAAGCAAACTGTTAGTTTGTAAAACTTTCCAAGATAAAAACCTATAATATCTTCCTCATTGTTACGCCTCTAAATGCACTAAGGATACCGTTGTGAATTGGACATGTCACTCTTTTTTTTTTAGATGAAGGGTTATTAAAATTACGACATATGACATGTCAAATTGTCAACTTTATTTATTTAACGGCCCAGTTTTGGATACCAGAGTCCAAAACTAAAGAACGACAAGTTTTGACTTAAATTTTAAGTTCATGGTTAAATGCCACTTCTGACTTAATTTAAACCTAAACTTTAACCGTGAGGTTAAATATTATACCTGTGGTTAAATATTTAACTCGCCGAAATCGACGAGTTAAAATTTAAACACAGGGTTAAAATCTTGAAATCCCGCAATCCCTATTTGTCTATCATCATTCAGCGGTAATTGCGGCATTCAACTAATTACGATATATTTAAAAGTAAAAACCTTGATTCAATAAATTTCACGTTTTAGATTAATTAATGTTTGCACGTAAACCCAAAATAGGTTGTAATTGGAAATATGTTTTGTGTTCCGTCACGTAAATTTAAAAAAAACAGCTGATTACCGAATACCGATACTTACGTAATAACTCTTTAACTCCTTTTCTCTGATTTGTTCAGATTTTTCCCGGGGAATTAAAATTTAAAATTGAGAAAGTTTAATATTTAAGTAGCTATTCATTATTTTACAGAACTTTTAACCTCGAACTTAAAATTCGCGCATTCTTTAGTTTTAGACTCTGGTTTCAACAAATACCCTTTCTTAACGTTCTACCTATGTTTAAGATTTATGTGAGTGAAAAAATACTGAGATCAAATATATTTAGAGTTTAGTTGAATTTTTCCCTTAAAAACTACAAACACTCCGACTTTATCACCCTGTTATACTCCATACCCTGCTCTTGGGAGAGGTTTAAAGGAGTTGTAACAGGGAGATAAAGTGTTTTATTGTATCACAGAGGAATATTAATAAGGGATTGCAGGTTTCAAATTAGATATTAATCGAACTTAAATAGATATAAACGGAGCTGAGAACCCTGTATTGTGGAGGTCAAGATCAATGCTTGATCTTGATCTTTTGTTAATCTGCAGATTTATTAATCTTTATTCGATATCCTGCATGGTTATCGTACCCTGTAGGAATAACTGAAAAGAGATTAAGCATTGATCCTCAAATTAAAAGTGCCTGCAGTGGATATCAAGAGTATTATTAGTATTATCCAACACAAAAGTGCCCAGCTCTGAAATCTTAATTCTGAAATCATTTTTTTTTGGTCCGAAGGATTCATGAAAGTATGCTGGATATTTCTAGAGGAAGATAGATCAGAGATCGTGAAAATATGAGATTTAAATAGCTTTACATAAAAGTTTTGACCTCTGTTTTTAGTTAAAACTAAATACTAATTGATCTTTTCAAACCAATCAGCAAATGCTAGGGATTGCAGAAATTAATAAACATAACGTTAATTCGTAATCAACAGGTTAAAAGACAGTGTAGATGATAAACATAAAGAAAAATTAATATTTTCAACATTTATTTGTTAATGTTACATTTAAAATCATATTTGTAGATATTTACGCAATTTACAAATGTAACATATGACTAGTACATAGAGGGTACAATGGTACAGCGTGTACAACGGTTTAACAGGATAAGTTGTACAGGCGAGGAGCTTGTACAATGGGATATAACAGATCTGGATAAACTGGGAGGTAAAATAAATTCATAAACATAATGTCGACGTGCAAAATAAACAAAATATTAATTTGTCCGAAAAAATTTGTAGAATCAAAATTTTAATGTTTTGTTTCTTAAATATCCCAAAATCCCAAAAGGCAGATCAATGGATGAACAGGATGGAATAAATGATATGAATAGAATGAATGGTTGAATGGCAAGGAAGGTATGGATAGGATGGGTTAGATATGCCAGGTTTTATCCACCTCCTGAGCTAGCTTAACTACAGTTTGAGCTGAACCCCGGAGAGAAGGAGGAAGATCAGGCCAGGGCAGCTCCTTGACCAACTTCTGTTTAAGTCCTGCTCTCAGTTTGTTTATCTCTCTGGATGCTGTTGAAAGATCACACTGGAGCTGGAGCTCCCGTTCTCGGAGATGTTTAACCTCACGCTGTGCTGACACGTTCTGTCGGAGCAACTCCAGCTTCTCAACCTTCAGCTTTGTGATCTCAGCCTGGAGTTTATCTATCTGTCCGGCCACTGCTCCTCCTTCAACTGTAACCATGGTCACGTGACCTGAGACGAGCTCCTGGCATCTTGGGTCTAGCATCAGAACGGGTCTGTTGTCTGGTTCTCTGCTTGATTTTAGTTCGTTTGTAATATGAATATGACATTTGGTTCCCACCGCGGTGGAATTATCAGACTTCAAGGAGTTCTTATTGTCCACAAAACTGCTGTTGTTATTTGTGTATCTGAGAGCTTTCGGTTTCAGGATGTATCTAACTTGATCGAGCTCAAGAGAGTTCAGAGAAGAATCGTCCGATGTGTCCAGGATGGTTTGATGCTGCAGTCTTGGATCTGGACTAGGAGCGGAGGAGAGATGGGACGAGGAGGAGGATGAGGCTCGTCCTGGACTCTCAACCGAGTGTTGGGAACCTGTACCTGATTCCTCGCTCCCTCGTCCTGAATCAAATTTGGCTGGACTGACAAGGTCCTCTTCTCTCTCCTGGTCTTGTTCTCCCAGTCCGACACTGAACTCGGAATTACAGCTGATACAATCGTTCTCCCCCTGACTATTGGAAAGGAGACGGATGTTCTCCGCTAAGGATTGACTGGAAAGAAGAGATTTACTTGATTTCTGTTTCTGCGGAGTCTTTGGTCCAACACTTTGATTTCCCAGGTTAGCAGGAGCATAACTTTTAGATCGTCCTATCAAAGCTTTCTTTACACTGTTTAGAATCCCGTTCTGATGAACTAGATCCGTCTTGTCTGTCTTATTGACCACCTGGAGAACCTGGTTGTTCAGATACTCCGAGGTCAGCTGACACAGCTGTTCGGTTAGATTGGAGAGAAGACAGGATCGTGTTCGTCTCTCCAGGGTTGAAAACTTCTCCGCCTTGTAGCACGCGTTCTCTGCATTTATTAACTTGGTGAGTAAAAACTCTTTGAACTCGGAACCTTTCCTGAATATTGCTGGATCAGGGAGACTAGGACCAAAATATGGAACATCAGATCTAGCTGTAACACTCACCCTGTAGCTTGTGTTTCCAGAACAAGGATTTATTGGCTGAACAACAATGTACGCGTGAAGAAAATGAGAGGCAATAATTTCAGGACTAAACGGAGTGTTTGACTCTTGAAAGACAACAGCAACTATATCATTTCCAATATGTCGTTTCCTCTGTAACTGTTGTTTATCAGACTCACTGAAAGGAAGGAGAGTGCTCACATGGAACATGATTTCACGCTTGTGGAAGACCTGGTACACAGAATAGTTCCCGGTTTGGCCGTGAACTGTATCCAGGCCTCCCTTGTATCCTCGGTGTTTGGATAGATCTATCCTGAGTCCGAGCATATCGAGGAACTCGTCCATTGCCTCTGTGTGGGACCTGTTCCCGAATAGTTGCTCCTCCGTCACCTGACCAAACCTTTGGTAAATACAACCAAACTTATAATTATTCACAACAACATGTTCATCATAGTTTACTATTAGTTCTCCGGCCCGGGGGCTTAGGATGGGTTCATACTTCTCTATACTTAGATCTTCACAGAGAAACTTAGAGAGTTGAACGGGGGACGGGGTCTCACGGACATCTGAGTACGGTAGAAGTCTATGAATGGTTCCTGATGTGGTTCTCAGTATCACCCTGACATGGTTTCCCTTGATGTCCCCCTCCTTGTCGTTGTAGTGCTTCACGGAGAGAACCACTGGACCGTACTCGTCGTCGACTGCGGTAAAGTTTTGATGATCGTAGCCGACAAAGTGAGCTCGGTAGCTTCGAGCAGAATCATCAATCTCAAATTTTGCTTCGATCTTTGCCTTTCAGAAAATTATACTTGGTCTTCAATTCAAATTTATTAAAAGGAGAATTCATGGGGTTCTTTAAAAAGGAATTACGATAATTTTTTCAAAAAGTAGTTAATTTTATTTTTCTGTTACAAGTCACTCCAGCCTTTCCCTGTCTAGTTTTGGTGCACTTTCCCTTATCAAAAACTATATACACACCCTTCATGATGTATGAGTAAGTTTAATATGTAAGTAGGAAATCTTCACAGATTTTATTTTTGTATTAAAGTATAATTGTTCCTGTGGGTCTGGTTTGTACTCATCTCCTGTATGCTCCTGATCCCCTGGATCCAACCAGTAACTGCTCCCTTCAACCACAACCTGGGGATACGGTCCCTGGTTCTCCAGTACCTTGTCCAGCACACGGCAGGTTGCAGGACGGACAACAGGACGGTTTAAAGTCGGCATCTCACATCTCTGATCATCTAACCTCGAGGACTGAAGTTTGTCCAGGAGTTCGAACAGCTCCGACATTGAGGACATGTTGGTCGTCTCCAGCATCCTTTTCACCAACAACTAGGAGGTCTACTCAGCTGTCAATATATTCATCATTATACAAATAAAACTAAAAATAAAAATAAAAAGTTATTTTGTATTTGGAATTTTTTTTAATATGATGATTTTGGCGAAATCCTAGTGTACCAATTGTGTTACATGCTGTACCCCTCTTCTTTCTTCTCAAACCTGCAGTACAATACAGTACATTAAATAGGAGAAACCTGGAGTACAATACAGTACATTAAATAGGAAAAACCTGCAGTACAATACAGTACATTAATTAGGAAAAATCTTCAGGACAATAGATTACATTAATTAGGAGAAACCTGCAGTACAATACAGTACATTAATTATAAAAATCTTCAGGACAATAGAGTACATTAATTAGGAGAAACCTGCAAACCAATACAGAGCATTAATTAGGAAAAATCTTCAGGACAATAGACTATATTAATTAGGTGAAACCTGCAGTACAATAGAGTACATTAATTAGGAGAAATCTGCAGTACAATATAGTAAATCAATTAGGAGAAATCTGCAGAACAATCGAGTACATTAATTAGGACAACTCTACAGGACAATAGAGTGCATTAATAAAGAGAAACCTGTAGTACAATGAAATAAATTAATTAGGAGAAATCTGCAGAACAATTAGTACACTAATTAGGAGAAACCTAAGGTACTGACAGTACGTTAATTATATAAACCTGCAGTACAATACAGTACACTAACAAGGAAAAACCTACAGTACAATACAGTACATTAATTAGGAGAAACCTGACATATAATGCAGTACAATTAATTAAGGGAACCCTGGAGCACAATACATGAGTACAATTAGTTATTAGAAACCTAATGTATGATACAGTATATTGTTTCTAAAACAGGCTTCAAAAAACATCCTTGAAATGGCTTGAATGATTACAATTCACTACATTTATGAATGAAAAAAAACCTTTAATACAATAAGTACAGAAAAAATAAGCAGTAGCATAGCAGTACATTACGGTAAAACATTTGAATAACAACAAACATTAAAAACACACAGAAAAATTGTAAATTCTCCGTTATCGATAAATGTGATAAGTAGAAAAGAGATAAAAAGCGTTAAAATACAACAACAAAGTACTTAACACACATTTTAATTTCTTGACTTGTGATTGGGTAAAGTCAAGACAAGAAACGATGAACCCTTTGATCTCCTTGAATAAGATGATAGATCAAGAAACCCGGAAGTATTGAGGATGAATTGAATAAAGGAAGAAGATGAACCAGAAAGGTTCCCAGACCTCACTCCTTATTAAAACCTGATAAACCACAAAACCTCAAGATTAATAAACATCAAACCTAGGTCTCAATCATATCCTATAATTATACTTTAGAACCAATATATGCTTGTTTGTTTGTATCCAATAAACTTCAAAACGACTGAACCGAGCCGAGCCCATATTTTGACTCCAGGGAAGTATGGTCATGGCAGAATATATAGTTTGAATTATCAAAGAACTACAAAATCAGGTTGAAAATATAAGGATTATATATTTTTAGGCTTTTAATCAGTTTCATCCAAACATGTCTATTTTTAGTTTTCCTACTTTTTAAAAATCTATGTAATATACCTTAAATGTGCCGGGATGGAGAACTTGCTTCCATTTCGATTCTCCGAAACCAAACTCAGAAGTAGATTCAACCCTGTTTAATCCAAGATCTAAGGAGTTTTCTTGATTTTCTTTGAAAAACAATCTCAACGAAGACCAGGTGTCATTTTCAGTTCCAGGTTCCAAGTTTTCTCTGCTGTTAATCTTCTCACTTCGTTACATGTCCTCTCGGAGTTTATCTGCTCTCCTGAAAATATTATGTTTTAAAATAAAATGTCAATCATTAAAAACTTGAGTCTAAGATTAATGTGTTATGTATCCATACATACATACCACGCACCTTTGTCCCTTTAGTAAAAGTAAATTCAACTTAAACGAAGCATAAAGTCTGGCCGCGTCAACCTTGTTGCACCGGTTACTCCTGTCCATAGAGCTAGGTACAGTACAAACTGGGACCGGAAAGGTTGACCCGACTCGGAAATTCAAATGTACTACGACTGCCCGTGATACATACATACAGGGTTAGTAAAAAACAGAATTAGCGTTGTTTTACAAAATACTATGAAAATATATGCAGATTAATGTTTTTTTTTTTGGGGGGGGGGGGAAATATTAAGATTAAATGAATCAGTAAAAAATAAAAAGGTATCAGAAAAAATCCTTGAAAATCTTGTAAAGTTGGCTGGATGGAATTTTCAAACAATTTGTTAACCAAAAAGTAAACCATTACAGGGAGAATTTTTAGACAGTTGAAAAATAAATTTCGGAATAGAATAGTTAAAAATTATTCCAAATTTTCAAAAAAAAAATTATTTTCGGTTTTTGATGTACCAAAAATTGTTTAGCGTTTAGATTTTTACATTTTGATATTTTGAGTCTAAACTTGAACCCTGCAAAAAAACTACGTCAATCCCGTTTTTTACTCAACCTGTAAATGGTGTATATATATATATTGACATTATTATCTATGTATGATAACGATAAAGGAACGGATTTTTTGCCACAAACTCAAATATTCTTATCTCTATATCTTGGCAACCTAATGTCGTAGATAGACCTTAGTTTTTTCAAACTATTAATTCTGTTAGATCAAATAATGTAAGTTTAAAATATCAAAGGGTTAAACCCACTGGTTGCAGAGATATAGAAATTAAAAAAATTTGAGGTTGTGACAAAAACTAAATTCCTTTACAATAAATGCTGTATTTGTAAATTCTGTAAACACAATTACTATCTATTTATCTATCTATTTATGGTATCTTTGTAACTCAAATCTTTTTTATGCAAGGTAATGAAATAAAAAGTACAGAATGGTATTTTATTACAGCATGATTGATTTGGAAAATAAGCTTCAAAAGATTAATTGGATGATATGTTAATAGATCAACAATCTTCATTAACAGTGACACTGGATCTCTGTCTCTAAACCTTCCTTGGATATTTAAATGTTTTAAAGTTCTGTTCCTTCCCTTCTTCGTCCTAAATTAAGACATAAAACAGTAGTTAGAGTTCCAACCACCCTGATAATAATCTACTCAGTTCTAAGCCAAGATCGTGAGGAGCAATGTTGAACCATGCAGAGCTGAGTACAGAGATACCTTTTTACTGGGTCACACTTTAACTAGGTAATATTTACCAGTATACATGAGTACCTGGAGTATACAGGAGTATACAGGAGTATATAGGAGTATACAGGAGTATACAGGAGTATACAGGAGTTTACAGGAGTATACAGGAGTATACAGGAGTATACAGGAGTACCTGGAGTATACAGGAGTATACAGGAGTATACAGGAGTATACAGGAGTATAATAGAGTGTAGAGTGTAGAGTGTAGAGTGTAGAGTGTAGAGTGTAGAGTGTAGAGTGTAGAGTGTAGAGTGTAGAGTGCAAAGTGCAGAGTGTAGAGTGTAGAGTGAAGAGTGTAGAGTGTCGGGATTCGGCAAAATATACTGTTCTGCAGTGATATTTAAAATTTGCAAAGGGTGATTTGTTCCATAGAAATTGTTTTCATGCAAAATTGTTTATTTTTTTTATGCAGTTAATTCATGTTTTCGTGTGCACAGAACTATTTAGATTTGTTAGAAAAGATGAATATAAGGCGCGTGTAGAGCGCGTACAGTGATGAGGCGCGTAGGTTGCGCTCTTCTGCAATTTTATCCGTAAACTATCATTATCAATTCACCCCGATCCATCCAGTCTAACATTATGCAACCCCC